TCCTAATTTTATTTTAATTTGCCTTCCTCTCATGTCCCAGGAAATTAAGCAAATGACTTTCATTTCTCTATTTCAAACACCTTCTTCTTCTTCTTCTTCTTCTTCTTCTTCTTTTTCTTCTTCTTCTTCTTCTTCTTCTTCTTCTCTTCCTCCTCCTCGTCATCCTCATCCTCCTCCTCCTTCTCCTCATCCTCCTCATCATCCTCATCCTCCTCTTCCACCTGCTCCTCCTCCTCCTTGTCCTTCTCCTTTTCTTCTTCTTTAAGAGAGAGTCACATGCAGCTCAAGCTAGTCTCGAACTTACTACATAGCCAAGAATGACTTTGAGCTTCTGCTCCTCCTGCCTTCCCCCTGCTCCCAAGTGATGGGATTGGAGACTAGGGCCACCATACTTGACTACTTTTTTAAAGTTTGGTCTCATTCCTCAGCCCTAGTCAAACTGGAACTCACTGCGTAGCCCAGGCTTGGCTCAGTCTCAGTGCAATCCTCCTGTCTCAGACTCACAAGAGTGAGCCACGATGCCCTACTGCTGTTTTAATGTCTCTTTCTTCTCTTTCTTAGCCCTGTCTCTCATTTTTTTAAAAATTAGAAGTCATGGGCTGGAGAGATGGCTCAGTAGATGAGAGCACTTCCAGAGGACCAGGTTTCAATTCCCAGCACCCACATGGCAGCTCACAACTGTAACTCTAGTTCCGGGACTTCTGACACCCTCCCACAGACATGCGTGCAGGCAAAACACCAATGTACATAAAATAAAAATAAATTTTAAAAATTAGAGGTTATTATTTTAGTAAATATTGACTGAGGACTCATTATGGACTGTATTTGCTGTTGGAGAAGGTGGCACCCCAGAATCTAAGTGTGGAAATTGATACTTATTCCGATAAATCATGGATAGACCCGCTAAAGCAGTGATACAAGAGGACAGCAATAGCAGTCAGGTTCACTCTGCAATCTGAGGTCACTCTTGGTCAGCAGGGCCTGTGGCAGGAGAAGAAGAACAGAGCACAGCAGGTTGAGGAGAGAGCAATGACAGGTGGAGCCCAGCATTACCTTCATCTACTTCAAAATGGCAGAGAGCGGGAATGAGATCCCCTCTGTTGCAGATCAGTATTCCCTGCCCAATCTCTGGGGCTTGAGGACATCCTTGGAGGGAATGAAATTCCCTCTGCTGCAGATCAGTATTCCCTGCCCAATCTCTGGGGCTTGAGGACATCCTTGGTACTGGAGCCCCAGTTTGGCCAAGCTAACTTGATGTATATGAGGAGCTGGGTTAAGAAATTATGAGAGGCTAGACATGGGGAAACACACCTTCAATTCTAGCACTCAGGAGGCTGAGGCAGAAGGCTCTCTGAAACTTTGAGTCCAATCTGATTTATGTAGCAAACTCTAGGTCATCCAGAGCTACACAGAGAGACCCTACCTCAAAACATAAATAAATAAGCTGGGGTGTGGTGGTACACGTCTTTAGTCCCAGCACTTGGGAGTCAGAGGCAGGCATATCTCTGTGAGTTCCAGGGCAGCCTGGTCTACAGAGTGAGTTCCAGGACAACCAGGACTGTTACACAGAGAAACCCTGTCTCTAAAAAAAAGAAAAGTTAAAATAAAAGATATGATGAGAATTCCCAGGAGGCAACATGACTGAAGTTGGTTATCAAAATGGACTCTGAGAAAATGTGCTTGTCTGGGTTCCAAGCTGTTGACAACTCCTGGACATTTCTCTTTAGTGGCCTCTTGTGAGTGTTCTTTGGGTTTCCTACCTGTGAGAAACTGGCTACATGAAGATGTCACCAAGTAAGTATATAGTCAACACCCAATAGTGACAATTGGGGCAGTAGTTAAGGATAGTCAGTAGGTTTTCATACCTTTATGTAACTTAGCAACTACCAATTACTTCCATATCTCTTTCTTTTGAGGCAAGATCTCACCATGTAACTGGCTGGCCTAGAACTATATGAAGACCAAACTGGTCTCACACTCACAGAGATCCATCTGCCTCTACTCCAAAGTGCAGGGATCAAAGGTGTGTGCCACCACCTCTGGCTAATCACTTCACATTTTAATCTATTTTTTAAAAAGATTTTTTTATTTATTATGTACATAGTCTTCGGCCTGCATGGCAGCATAGGGCACAGATCTCATTCAAGGTGGTTGTGAGCCATCATGTGGTTGTCTGGAATTGAACTCAGGACCTGTGGAAGAGCAGTCAGTGCTCTTAACCACTGTACCAGATGCAGAACTATGAGGTATAGGACTGTGTATCTGTCCACATGAAAATAATCACCCTGTGTGAAATAAATGCATACCTTTCTACCGTGCCTTACTCACACATCTCCTCTAATCCACTTCCCAAAACATTCTTCAGATTTCCCATAAGGTTTGAAATAAATAAAACCCCGGAAGAAGAGAGAGAAAGATAATATTGCAGCCACATAATAAAATCACAAACTCTGAAGCACACTGGTCATAAGTCTAAAATTAAGACAACTTGATTTTAAAAAATCCCATAACTTCCAGAGAACTAGATCACACCAAAGAGTTTATGATGGAAGTACTGGTTTATCTCATGGGACACTGGACAGAAGTACAGCCAACCCTCAGGCAAACATTGAAACTAAGAGAAGGCAAGCACTCATGACTCCATCTCTTGTGGCTTCCCTCTGCCTTCACTACAGGGCATGTGTTCCTTCCCTCACCAGTTGGATTTCTCTGTTCTAAGATGGAAGGAATACGGTTGCTCTTCTGAAGTTAGTTTGAAGGGCATAGAAACTGATTTTCTGTCCCAATACCACAAACGAAGACTCTAACTGCTTAAGTTCAGAGTCAGCCTTTCTTCCCTGAACCAATCAGCTTTGGTGTGAAGATGGAGAGCACAGGAGGAGGCTTCACGACAATCTAAAGCCAGGAGTCCCACCCTGCAGAGGACTAGAGAGCCCAGCCACCCTAGATAAAGGATTACAGACTGCAGCCCTTAGACACCAACACACTGACTTCTTTACTGACACTGGACTCCCCTAAAGCCAATCGGAGATACATGATTCCCCATGAGGATTCAAAAAAACAAAAACAAACAAACAAACAAACAAACAAAAAAACCCTCAAGCTTCCTAAGATGGCTAATAGGAAGGGAGGCAGTTCATCAAAAGTCAGCGGACTCAACGAATAGGCACTGGGGGGAAGCTGTAGTTAATTCAGGATCAATAATTAAGCAAAGTACTTCCTGGAATGTAGTAAACATTGTCCATTGCCTTCCTGAGTCGTTCCTCCTTCTTCCTCACTCTGCCTTCAATGTTCAGGTATCTGTTCCTTTTCACTGAGCTTGTATAGATGCTTCCTAAACCTTGTGAAGGAATTGTGACTAGTCAAGCATTCTCTTTGTCCCCAACTGTGTTAGTTGTGAATTGATGGCATGTTCTGTCCAGTGAGATACTATATAAAGTCACCTGTAACTTTCTGAGAAAGATTCCTTCGGGCCTAAACAATATGTTGATGTAGATATTCCAGCTCCTTCCTCTCTGTCAGCTCTGCCTGGATAGTAGGATACAGCCGGAGCTGCTGCAGACATCTTGTAGGCCTGAGACTTACACCAAGAAAAGAGAGGAAGAGCCCTTCATGGTGGCTCACACTCCCAGCACTGGGGAGGCAGGGGCAGGTAAATCTCTGAGGCCTGTCTCTGCCTACCTAGTGCTGGGATTAAAGGTGTGTGCATCACCATGCCTGGAAAAAATAATAAAATATTGAAGAAAGAAAATTGTGCTGAGCAAGGGTCAGGACTATTTTCTATGTTACAATCTTTAAGAGCTCTTTTCTTTTTCTTTCTTCTTTTGTTTTTTGTTTTGTTTGTTTGTTTTTGTTGTTGTTGTTATTTTGATTTTTCAAGACAGGATTTCTCTGTTTAACAGTCCTGGCTGTCCTGGAACTCACTCTGTAGACCAGGCTGGCCTCGAACTTACTGAGAACCACCTGCCTCTGCCTCCCAAGTGCTGGGATTAAAGGGGTGTGCCACCACTGCCACCTGGCAGGAGCTCGTTGCTTTTCTATGAGTGTAAAAAAATCTTCAACTTGTGATGAAAAACAATTAATCATGACAAGATTAAAAAGGAACAGCCAGGGTGGGAACAGAGGCGGGTGGAGGGGAGGGACTGGGAGAGAAGGGAAGCTGCTGCCAGGATGTAAAAATTAAATAAATAAATAAATTTAGAAGGAAGGAAGGAAGCTGGGCATTAGTGGAGCACTCGGGATGCAGAGGCAGGAAGATCTCTGTGAGTTCGAGGCCAGCCTGGTCTCCAGAGCGAGTGCCAGGATAGGCTCCAAAGCTACACAGAGAAACCCTGTCTCGAAAAACCAAAAGAAAAAAGAAAACAAAAGAAAGGACCACTGCCAAAAAAGAAAAGGAAACAAGGCATGAGTATTAGAAATGTGAAGATGCCATTCCAAAGGTGGGAGTAAAGACAAGTGCTCTCCAGGCAAGTACTGGCCCAGGATGCAAGAAACCTGGGTAGGGCGGATCACACCACTGGAAAAACAGCCCAAACAGCAGCTGTCTCAGGGGTCAAAGGCTGGAGCACGCGACCTCTAGTGGACAAAACAGACAAGAAGCCCCGGCGTGCCAGCGTGCCTATAATCCCAACAGGGAGGAAGAGGCAGGAGAAACAGAAATTCAGGATTATATAAAGCAATATTACATTTCTTCAAGGTGGAAGAAATGGAGGTCATTCTGTGTGGATGAGAGGGTGGCAAAAAAGACACAAAATAAAGGGCGGGGAGGAGCGGGCATCGAGGTGGCATAGGCCTGCGGGTGGAAGCAAAGGACAGGGAATTCACGGTCATCTTTCGATATATATCAAGTTTGAGGCCAGCCTTGGATCCGCAGGAGTCTCTCAAAGAGCCGATAGAGAAAGCTTGGCATAAAACAGTAAAGTCACTATGGAAAGGAATCATGGCAGAGGTGCATCCCCACAGAGCAGCTTGGGGAAACTGAGGCGAAGAATGTCACTGACCTGATGGAAGCTCAGATGGGCAAGGGGACGTCTTAGAGTGACTCACGGGGAGTTTCCCATTTCGTTAGCTTCGGGAAATAAAATCAGACTAGCATAATCGCTCTCTTCCCACCCCATCCTTCCTTCAGCCCGCGCTTGGGAGTGCCCTACACACGTCAGTGGGCTCGGGCTAAGCCTTATCAACAGACAATTATAAAAATGCTGAGAGTTCGTCTCCCAGCTAGTGTGAGCGATGGAAAGCCCCTGGAACAGGACCAAGCCCTTCTCTTTCTGGGCTCATGCAACGATTCTGTAAAGTTTTCTCAGGGTTTTTGTCTTTGTTTCTTTCTTGGACTGATCCTGCTGCCGCCGGAGTGCACATCCCCAGGGATTCCAAATGAGAACACCCAATGCTCATAAATTACCAGTTGTTTTTCTCACAGCTGCTTTTTATCCTACTATCTCAGTTCAGGGAGAAGATGGGTCTCGGATAGGTTAAGAAAGCTGTTGTCTGCACATCAATCAGCTAGAAAATCTAGAGAGGATCAAATCCAAAGCCTCGTCACTGGACCACTCGGAGCCCTGGTGCGCTCCTATGAGCCAACTCTCTCCCCCACGACCCCACAGCGGGTCTCAGGGGCCAGTACCTTTATGATGCACACTTGTAGTCACAGTGCAGGTGGAGGCAGAAAGGGTCAGAAATTCAAGGTAAGGACTGGGCAAGAGGAAAGACACAAATTTGGATCTCCCAAAACACATATAAAATCAAGAACGACGATCCAATCTGTAACCCCGGACTGGGACTTCAATGGGAGGGACAGAGACTGAATGTACCTGGTGTTTGCTGGGCAGCCAGTGTAGGCATCAGTAAGCTTCAGGCTCACTGAGTCTAAGAAAAACATAGAAGACCAATTGAATAAAATATTCAGCCAGTGTATGCCCTTAATCCCAGCATTTGGGAAGGAGAGACAGGGGAATCTCTGAGTTTGAGGCCAGCCTGGTCTACAGACGGAGTTCCAGGACAGCCAGAGCAACACAGGGAACAGTCTACAAAACAAAACAACAAACAAACAAAAACAAAGAAAAGAAGGAAAGAAAGAATAAGATGTTCGGCCTTGCAGGTTGGTGGCGCACACCTTTAGTCCCAGCACTCAGGAGGTAGAGGCAGACAGATCTCTGTGAGTTCAAGGCCAGCCTGGTCTACAAAGTGAGTTCCAGGACAGCCAGGGCTACACAGAGAAATCCTGTCTTGAAAAAAAGTGAAATAAATAAATAAAATACTTAAGGGCAAAAATAAATAAGGACAAATAATAATAAATAAGGACAGAAATATTTGAAAAAGATCTGGGGTGCAAAGCCGAGATTAGATCAACTGTAAGAACCCTACTTAACATGATTCCTAGTGCCAGAACAACAAAAATGAGTCACTCTGTAATAGGGACAATTAACATCTATACTGAACATATTCAGATGCTCTTTTGTGGTTGAGGCCTAACCAACACAACTTACAAATCATTTCCATACCACTTCAGTGTATTAGTAGTATAGTATTAGCATTTTAGCATATTAGTATTATAGCATTAGTAGTTCAGTATATTAGTATTATAGTATTAGTGCTTCAGTATCATAGACCAACAGATGACCTCAAATACATAGGATGATGTATGCAGGCTAAATGCAAATTCTAGATCATTTTATATAGGATTTCAGATCCGTGGAAACTTTTCTGGGGTGGAGTTTCCAGAACCCATCTCAGGATACTGAGGTGTGACTATTTTGTCCTTTGTCGTTCACATTTATACACTTAAGTCATCTGTAGTCTAACTTTCCACATGGTATTAGGAAAAGATCCCATTTTACTGTTTCCATATGGCCTCCAGCCATTTATCTATCTATTCTTGTGCCAACAACATTCAGTACTTATTTATTTGCAATGTAAACTATTTTTTACTTCATGTTTCCAAAATTGACTTAGCTATTCAGGGACTACCCCCACTTCCCTGAAATTTTATCAACTTCCTTAAATTTTTATTTTATTATTTGTTTGTTTGTTTGCTTATTCTGAGGCAGGTTCTCTCTACATAGGCCTGGTTGTCTTGGAACTCACTATGTAGACTAGGTTGGCCTTGAATTCATGGAGATCTTTACTATAGTTTTAAATTTTTCTCTGTGAAAGTGTCACTGTTGGGAAGAAGGGGTGGACCTGTGGTTAGGAGAACTTGCTGTCTTTCAGAGGAGACCAGGGTTTGGTTCCCAGCACAATGCTGTGGCTCAGAACCCTCTGAAACTCCTATTCCAAGGGATCTAATGCCTTCTTCTGACTTCTGTAGACACCAGGTGTACACATGGTTCACATGCAAACATGCAGGCCAAGCATTAAATAAATAAATAAACAAATAAGAGCTTACTCAACAATGTTGAGCATGCAAATTCAGATCCAGCACCCTTGTAACAAGCCAGGTATCTAGCTCATGCCTGTAACCCCAGCTCCAAGGAGGGTGAAACAGGGTGCTGCTGCCTTCCAGCCTAGCCAAGAAAATATGAGCCGGATTAAGGGATAGACTACCTCAAAGGGAATAGCAAGGAGTTTGATCACCAACCTCTGATCCTGGATGAATCGAATGTGTACACACACACACACAGAGATACACACATATAATTCTTTAAGTGTAACTAACACTTGGGAGGCTGACATAGGAAAATGTTGAATTTTGAGAACAGACTGGTTCACAAAAGAAGATTCTATATTTAAAAACAAAGCCAGGTGTGGTGGTGCAAGCCTTAATTCCAACACTCAGGAGGCAGAGGCAAATAGATCTCTGGGAGTTCCAAGACATGCTGGTCTAGATATTGATTCCAGAGTGACCAGGGCTACATAGAGAGACCCTGTCTCAAACAAAATAAAACAAAACTCTAACAAACAAAAATCTCCAGGGCTCAATATGTTGGCTCAACAGCTAAGGATGCATGCTTCCAAGGTCAATTTCCAGGACCCACACACACGATAGAAGGATAGAGCTGAGTCCTGCAAGTCGTCCTCTGACTTCCACCTTCGTACTCTGGCACACACATGCACATATGTACACAAATATATGATAAATAAGCAAATGTAATAAAAAATATATAGCAAATTTTACAATTTGAAACTCCATCTTTCTCTAGTTAAACTTCAACTGCTTTGTAATGTGCTTAAATAAAGCCCTACCCAGCAATGACCTTGATGGTGCTTTTAAAAAAAATCCTGCTCAGTGTGACTGCTGACTACACAGTTAAGTTGTATTCCCCAACCCCCCAAGATGTGTCTATCTGTGACTGGCCTCATTTGGGAAGGATATTGCTACAGATGCCATTGAGTTGAAGTGAAGTCATACTGGACAGGGTGGGTTCCAATCCAATGACAGATGTCCTAATAATAGAGGAAAATTTGGACACAGATTCATAAGGAAAATTCCATGTGCTGATAGAAGCAGAGACCAGAGTCATCCATCTCCAAGCCAGCATACTCCAAGATTTCTAGAAGTCACCAGCAAAGAAAACTCCTCTCCAAGACCCTCCAGAAAGAACATGGCCCTGCTAACCTTACTTCAGATGTCTCCCCTCGAGAACTGAGAGGCAATGCATTTCTGATGCTCTGTGTGCCTGTTTATGATGTTGTCATTTGTCGTCGCAGACCTCGGAGCATAATACAGCTCTTTTGTTTGCAATAAGAAGGCAGAAGTTTGTCCTTCCCTTGGTTCATGTACAGATGGAAATGATCTGGCCAGGTGATCAGAAGTGGGGACAAACTGAAGGTGTGGTGTCAGAGCAGTAGGGGAAGGAGGTGTGTCAATGGGCCTTTCTTAGCACAGACACCATCCATATTTCTGTCCTTGTGACCAAAGGAGGCCCACTGAGAGGATACTCTTAGTAACTAACAAGACCATAACATCCTCTGTGAATGCCAAGAAATCTTTTTGTTCTTACTCCATGGACTCACACGAAAAGTGGCCCTGATAGCAAGGATGGAGGCTAGGCATGTGCTCAACAATGTAGACGTCTTACCAAGACTGACCAGGTTAGCACTATTGCTGGGAGCTTTATCTGCCATTGGCAGACACCAGCACAAGCTCTCTGATAGAGCACCATTGCCCACAGCTGCCTGGTGTGGGAGGATTATACTGGCACACATGTGTAATCTGTGGATAGATGATCTTTCTATCTTTGCCAAGACCTCCTCAGAACGCTTTGTTTGCCATCATGCCATTCCATACACCATGGGTTCTGAACACAAGAAACTCATTCATAGTCGTGGGAATGAGCCTGAAGAATTTACACACGCCATCAGCTAGGAGTGGCTAATGCCAGAATTACCTATGACACTTGCAGTGACTGTCAATGTCTGTTCAGGATGTTTCGACAAACCACTAAGAGTGAGTGGCTTACAGACAGTAGAAATGTATTTAGCTCAGTTCTGGAGGTTGGGAGTCCAAGATGAAGATGACATCAGTGTGTTATGCAATGAGGTCTTTCTTCCTCAGAAACAACTCTTTTCCACTCTGTCCCTGACTGCTGGAAGAGGGAAGGATATCTCCACCCTCTTTTATAGAATTGGTGCTGACCTCATTTGCAGGGGCTCTCAACTGCCTCACCTCTAAATACTATTTATTTTGGGGGTGTGGTTTTCAAACTAGGAATTTAAAGAGGGACCACAGCATTGGTGAAACACCTTTAAAGATGGGGTTCTGTCTTGCAAGGTTCACCGTTTGCTTTAAGTGGGGGACTATTTTACTACCATCTCCTCCACATCGAGAATATACAGGTCTAGACATCAAGATTCGAGATCAGTTACTAAAGACAGTTATTCATGAACAGTCCTCTCAGAAACAGTTTCTTCTGGTCTTGGCAACTCTGAGGTTTGCTGATTGAACTTGTTCCCCCAAAAGGCATACTTCTACCACAATAAGCCACAAAGCCATTAAATCGGAAGATGGTGGTACCACTTCACTGTTTCAAACTCATATCACAAACTGGTGGCCAGGAAAGGTCTCTGTGCTGATGGAGTGGCTGATCCCAACAAGCAAAAATCCCAGCCATCTTGGGGTCCCACCAGTGGAGGAATATGTCTGAAACACAGGCATTTCCAGGGCGGCCCCTTCCCACTGCAATACTGGATCGTGCATACTAATAAAACTGTA